CGGCAAGATTCTTCCACCGTACGGGGTGGGTTGGACATGAAAAGAGGGCTTGCAATTTCGAGGTCTTGGAGTCCTCGTCCATAGAATACGCCACATACGCAAAGAAAAGTGACGAGCCGATGCCTCACTTGCAAGATAATAATTAAAATACGCTAAAACACTGTTTTGTGTGTGCATGTGATCATGAAACCATATTGTATTCAYTAAGCTTTTTGCTTATACTATACATGTATATATCTCAGGTGTCATTTGTCAGTAGACGAGTGAATGAAGAAAGACGAGACTATGTTTTTGAATCATGTTTGATTAGATATTTTAATTAGCATTGATTATGTTAAAGTATTTTATGCTTCCGCAATTATGTAACGAATTATGTTAAACATATTATGTGTGTTCGAAATTTTAAGTTCGTATTTTTGTTCATGACATAAGTTATTAAGAATGACGTCACGGCACTCGATAGAAAAAAAAATCGGGGCGTGACAACATGTGTCTTCAAAATACTTCAATAAACAAATTGATCTTCAAAAACAACAAATAAGAATATAAGAAAAATAATCATATTTTCCCCTTCCCCTTAATATCCCGAAACCCTACTGATCCTGCAATGCATATTTAAAACACAAAATGAGGGTTAGACCAGAAGGTCTAGTGAGATAACCCCTTTCTTTGCATTTACAGGGTGAAGATCACCAACATCTATTTAAAAACATCCTTTCACATACACAGATACATACTCACTGAAATCTGCATCAATTATAAAATACAGAGACGCAAAACTTCTCTAGCTCAACTGGTCAGAGCTCCCCGGGCTCTTAAAGACCAGCGCTCCTCTGTCTCTAATGAACAAAGTTATTTATTAAACCATTCCCTCTAGTTGGCCAGAGCCTCTAATCCTACCAACCAGAGCCTCTGTATCCATTCTCCAAAAATAACAAAGGCTACCATTCAACCAGAGACTCTCTAGACGATCAGAGTCTTTGTTCTGAATAGACTAGAATAGGAATTTTAAATAAAAAGGATAACTAAAGTGTAACCAAAACCCTTCTAGTTCTATGTTCTAAAAAAATATTTAACAGGATTAGACTTGTAAGAAAAATATAAATTAAGATTCAAAAGACAGAGCTCAGACGCAGAGCTCGGACACCACACTCGGATACAGAGCTCAGACTCCACACTTGGACACAGAGCTCGAACACCACTCTCGAACACAGATTTCGGTCGTAAAACTAGAAAATACAACTTTCATGATACATACCATCACAAGTCACCAACAAATTTAAAAACATTTTTTTATCCTTCTTTTTTAAATGGAACCCCACTTGAACGTTGCAAATCACCAATGGATTTAAAAACATTTTGTTTTCATTTTTTTTTTATTGAAATCTATGGCGTTGGTGATCCATCGCAAATCATTGACGGATTGAAAAGTATTTTTCTTTTTTCTTTTTCTTTAAATGGAAATTCACATCCGTGATAATCCGTTGAAAATTACCGACGGATTTTTGTTGTCGGTGGTACCCTTTTCTAGTAGTTGTTGGAGACTTGGAGGGACCAAATCTGAAATAAGGTCATTGGGCAAAATTCAAATTATTAGCTTAAAGTATGGACTTGATATTGAGTGACAACCAAATAGACCAAATATGTAATTTATTCTAAAGTTTATTTGATTAAAATATTTAACTGTATTTAAAATATTTTAGATTTGAGATGCGATATTTATCTTGTATTTGATTATATTTATCAATTAATTAAAATTAAAACATGAAGTTGTTAGAAAGTTGTACAATTGTACTATACTATAAATTCATAATCTTATATTCTAAATTATATATATATATATATATATATATATAAAATGATACTTGATACATAAAAACGTTTTTAAGAATTTAATTCAAATCATTTTATAAATAACATAGATGTTTTTAGATATACTAGAAGGGTACTCGTGTAATGCAGTAAGATATATCTTGATTTTTAATATTTTATTTTATTATTTATCCCAGTTGATGTTATAATATGGTCTTATGTGATTTTAAAAAAACGATAATGTTTTTATTTTTAAATAAAATATAAATTTGAAGATATCATAAAATTTTGATAAAAATATATCGATGTTAGTATCAAATTAACTAATTAAAATTCCTATTTTTGTGTAATTTTTTAATTCAATTTTTTTATTATAATTTAATGTAGGTTCAATAACAAAGTCTTTTATATTCGGTTTAATAATATAATTTTCTTAAAAAGGATAATAATTTTAGTTAAAACTCAATAATTATTCTAATTATATTTTAGATTTTTTATATTTTAAAATGAGATGTTTATCCAATATTTGATTTTTTATATTTTAAAATGAGATGTTTATCCACTATTTGATTATGTTTATCCGCAGTTAATTACATGAATTCAAACAAGATAAAAACGAAAAATAAAATGTTTAAACAACAAAACTTGTTAGTATAAGATTTCATTTTATAAAAGGCTTTCCCCAACGATTTTCAACTTTTCATTGTTGCCTTTTCCTTAAAAAAAAAAAAAAAAGCTTGTGAGACTCCTCCACAAGAAGGTTTAATTTCCCAGTAAAATCTTTAAAACTTTAAAAAAACTTCAAAAATTGTTATATGTCGGGGGGAATTCATGAAAACGATTTATCCAAACTTCTAGGAATACGAGAAAAGCTTGTATTTTAGTCTTTTCTTTTTTCAGACCATACCTCCGAGATGTCAAATTTTCATGTTTTTATTACGTGGAAATATATATATATATATATATATAGAGAGAGAGAGAGAGAGAGAGAGAGAGAATGTTTCAAATACAACTCATCGCATTTGTATAGCCAATATAACCCAATAAATTCAGATATTTATAGAAATGATAAGAGTTCATTTATTATGATTTAAATATTTATAAAGATGAATATGGTTTATTAATTATGATCAATACTTTATATTAGGAAACAATAAAAAAATTTATGAAATCATATATTTATCAAATTAAATGGACGGTTGAGATTGAGTTGTATTGATTATACAAATGTAAACGATTGTATAATAACCCACCCCTCTCTCTCTATATATAATTATATTGTTAAAAAATTTCAAGCAAGAATAAATGGTGATGAAGGCGTCGTTGATAAAAACACGTTATAATGGAGACATCTCCAACAAAAAAACAAGACACAACAAGAAAGAAAGGGTTATAACTAAGGACGGCAATGGTGGTTGCAATAGCTTCATAAATCGTGGCTAAAGATTTATAGAGTGATGACTCGTGTTGCTATTGACCCCGTTGCACGCAGTAAAGTAACGCAACACAACGACCAAGGCCATGTTGTTACTATGGATAGCCCATCTTTCTAACAATGAGACACAAACTGTTTAGTGGATCTAATGAGCCGAACATGAATTTGTTTTGAAGCGGTAAATCCATTACTATCGTAATCAAACCATATGTCTAACTGAGCGAATCTCATACGGACTTCTCATTTCAAGCATTCTACGCATCGCTAATTTGTGAAAGTTGTGTGCTAGCTTCTTTTTCTACTTGCTAGAAAGAAAAAGTCACAAGTATCATGACCCAACTAGAAATATTAAAAGTTCAGTGACAAAGAAAGAAAAACGTGAAAACTACAAGGGCCAGATAGTAAATAACATGACATAGTTAGCATCTGAAGTATTTGACTAATTTTTCAACGGAAGAAACTCGATGAACTGCCGAGGACCGAGGCTGACGTCATTCGTCGGAAGGAAACATTTGTCTGTATGTTCCGGTCCCTGACCGTTGGTGTTCACCGGAAACAGCTCCAAGGTCTGGTAAGAGTGCATATCATCGGGAAGGTGGTGGTGGTGATATCTATGACTGTGAGGTGGTGAAACGACAAGGGTTGATGACGTATCGGAAGCTGAAGGTGTGGAGGTGGTAACGGCGGCAAGGGTGCAGACGGTGGCCGAGTTGAATGGGGGTATATGGTTGGTGGGAGGAGGAGGAGGAGGAGGGGGAGAGGACAAAAACTGCATCATGTGATTCCACGTGGCATTCCTTTGAGGGAAGGTCTTCCTCCTTGGGTGTAGGTGTAGCAGATCATCAGTTGCAGCTTCTTCTTGTTCAACAGGTATCCATCCATGATGATCTGCTGCTACGCTCGTCATCCTAGATTCTGCTTTTGCTGTTCTTTCTCTTAACACACTTTTCTGCTAAATTCAACATAATATAATAAATAAAAATTATATTTACATACATATATATATATATATATATATATATTACACAATGTGAAAAAAACAAAGAGAAAAACCCTAAGGCGGTGATGGATGAGGGAAGAAGGGACCCGACAGAAAGGAAGGAAGGAATGCAGGTTTGCATTTCCCAAGGAAAAAGAAGCAACAAAACCTTTTTCAATATTTTCTGTTTTTACTTCACTTCAACAATCATATTCACATTATTGCAACAAACCCTAATCTCGATTATATAATTTACGAGTTTATATATCATTTCATCTCCAAAGATTTCTGGGTTTATGAGCTTACACCAATCTTATATATATATATATATATATGTCTGTGTGTGTATATATATATATATATATATATATGTATGCTGATGAACTCAGGCACGATGATCACCAAAAATACCTTCTCATCATGGCCTACCATATTCTAAGTATTACCATAAACCCTAATCTCAATATGAAGTGAAATAATGTCACCAAATGTCTTTTTGTCGGATCGTATCTGTGGTTCAGGTTAAAGTCCTTAAATCGATTTAAATAAATCTAAAATAGTACGTAGTAGTTGATTATAGATTAAAAAATAAGAAGGTAAAATCCATGTAACAATTAAATAACTTGGTTATAGATTAAAATATATATATATATATATATATATGTATATATTGTACATGAAACACATTCATTACTTGTAACATATCATGTGTCAAATCACATACACTTCATTGATGTAAATGGCATATTAGTTGTTTGTTTCCATGGATGTAACATTAATTTTAAAAAAGTTTTTTTAAATAAAGAAAAAAATCAATAATTTAGATAGAATGGGAAAGAATTTATAGTGATCGATTAATAAGGAGAATTTGGTTTTAAAAAAATAATAAAAATGGTGAATTGAAAAATGGAAAGATGAATTAGAAAGGTAATAAGCAGGTAGCAGACCTCTGAAAATGTAGGTATTGCCCAGTTTCTGGTCTCTTCAACTTCATAGCATGTCCTGTTGACCTCTGCAGCCAAATACAGATGCCAAAATCAGTCCAACTCTTTGCATAAAAACAAAAACAAAAACAAAAAACAGATAACCCAATTCGTATTATCTTATTCTTTCTGCACCATCAACCCACAAAATTTCTGATGCTCAATTCTTTCCAGAATTTTAAATTTGTCTCCTCTTCAATTATTCATAAAAAGTCCCTTTTCTTTCTGTTCTTTTTTTCAAGAAAGTAAGTTGTTTATGGTGTTGATATCTAACCTGTATCTTTCAGTTGTATGGATTGATCAAGATTGATGGTGCTGATATCGGTGGTATAGAATGGAGCTTGATGATGATCATTCATAGAGTTATCAAGCTGACGACGTCGTTTCTGTCTTTCTCGAGCCTTGTGATTCTGGAACCAGTAGAAAACATTCTTTCCTTCAATCTTTCCATAGCGGCGAAGCTGTGCAGTGATGTGTTGGATTTCATCGGCAGATGGTGTTCGTGTCCCTCGTCGGTATAACTCCTCTAAAGTTTGCAACTGCTCCGGCGTCGGATTCCACCGTGAGCTTACCACCACCATTTGCTGTGAATTAAAATCCCTCTTGTTTTGTTCAGCTGCCACTGTCCAAAAACAAACCCAGTTGGTATATCATTGCAAGCAAAAAGATTTGAAAAACAACAGTTAAGTTTAGATGATTTCGATAAGAAGAAAGAAAAAGAAAACACGTACGAAGATGAGGAGTGGAGTGGAAGACGGTGGGAGGTGGTGGTGGTCTTGGAACAAGCGGTCTTAACTTTCTGGCGCCATTGTTGCAGGTGTTGAGGTCGTCAGCTTCATTGTAACCCATCATCCACATTCTATCTAGCTATCTAATCTACTTGTGTTGAAATATCATAAAATGTGAGGATGATGATGAAAGGGAAGGGGGGCAAAAGGGATTGTAATGAGAGTGATAGATATAGAGCTCTAATATATTTTTTGAAATTAATGTTTTATCTATATATATATATATTAAATATTTTTCATATATACATGGGAAATCTATTAATCAACTAAAATGTGGATGAAGTGTTAATTGCGATTGTTACATGATTGTAATTTCAATAGCTTCTTTAAAATAAATAAAAAGAAGAAAATAAGAATTTTGAATCAATATTTTACTTCAATAATTTTTCTAAAACTATCTATAAAATGAAGAGAGTAAGAGATTGTTTGGTAGTTGTTGAATGGTTTGAGGCAAAATGATTAAGTGGTCATAATGATTAAGAGACTCTTATGATATAATGCAAAATGAAATATAATTGTATACAATAAAATTAGGACGCTTTGGTTAACAGATGTCCAAGATACAAAATCATTCGTAGGGTTTTAGAACCAGAAATAATATCTTCTTTATCAAACAAGATTCATCTATTAATTATTCAGATGTTGTCTCTTAATGGAACTATCAAAAGGTAAACAAATAACTCCAACAAAAAAAAATATTTTTTCTCCAAATATGAAGATCACCTTAGAATAATTATTTAAAAACATGATAATTATGATAAGTTTAATAAGGATAGGAATAGGATTAAAATGGTTGATTTAGGGATGATATAATGATTAAAATGGAGGGTGAAAAAGGAAGGGTGAAAGAAAGGGAATTCCACGTCAGGGGAATTCAGAAAAGGAAATATGGACAGAAAAAGGAGTTGTTGGTTTGAATTGCTCACAATTCTTTCTTTCTTACACGTTGACCGTTTCTTTCTTTCTTGTTTATTATTACATTTTTTCAATGCCCATTAAATTAACACAAACGCTATTTGTATGTTTTTTTTACGTGAGAATCAAGATCAATAATTTTTAAAAATGATAATATTTTTATTTTTGAATAAAATATATATTTTAAAATATCATAAATTTTTTAAAAAATATATCACAATTATATCAAATTAACTATTTAAAAAGTTCTCGTTTTTTTGTGTAATTTTTTTCATTCAATATTTTTGTAATAATTTAATTTATGATTAATAACGAATTAATTTATTTTTGGTTTAATCATATATTTTTTATAAAGATAATAATTAAATATTCTGTTAGAACTCAATGATTATCTTTATTATATTTTAGATTTTTTATATTTAAAATAAGATGTTATACGAATTCAAAAATAGCATTTTAATAAGTTGTTGTTACTTTGTAATATTGAATTTTAAGTAATATGCATCAATAAACAATATTACATACATAAAAATGGTTTTTAAGAGTTTTTATCAAATATTTTATAACATAATATAAATATAGTTACTATTTTATAGATATTTTAGTCATAAATTTTGGTAAAATAATATTTAGGATGAATTTAAAGAGAAGGGAAGGGGGTAAAAATGAAAATGAAAGAAGTTTGAAAAGGAAGAGGTGGGGTAAATAATAAGAAGCTAGGGAAGGCGTGGAATTCTGGTGTGTGTTATATCGGGATTCTAAACCCAACAACGACTTGACCTTCCATGCAGGAGAGATTTATAGACAAATACGTATATAATATTTATGACTGGTGGCTTTCACTCAATCCAAACTGCCCTTTCCTTTATATATAATATATTATAACAATATATTTATATAATTGAAAAAATATTCTGATAACTATTTACCTGGATGATATGTATATTTGTATACAATTAATTGAAGTTGTTTCTTGATTTTTATACATGTATGTATATATATAAATACCAAACAAATTACTTGTACGCATTTGTAAATATCGTCTAGATGAATTAATACCAATATGTTTGTAAGTTTTTTTATTTTTTTATAATTTTTTCTACATATGTATGTATGTATTTTATTTGCTGTTGCTATTTAATTTAATTACCCTCTGCCAACCAACTGAATCACAGCCCATTTCTCTTTTCTTTTTCATACCAACAGAAAAACGTAGCTAAATTATTCAACTGCATCTCTAATTATCTTATTAGCAACCTACATATTTAGTCCTTTTTTTTTTTTTTTGTGAAAAACATTATAAGGTTTCTACAATTCATTTATTACATATCATTTTGGGTTAGTTCCTTCAATACTAATTTTGTTAAAAAAAACGTTAACTTGTATAAGTGGTCGCATTTTCATTCCATTGGCACCAACATATATACACACTGCAACCACTTAACTAAGTAGACTATTGTGGGGACGTATTAATCTATGGAGATGATATATACCATATTTAGATAGAGTCTATCCATGGATTATATTAGGGAAGGCAGAGGCATCGAATGGTGAAGAGAGGCGGCAAGATAAGGCCAGAAACTTGACTCTGCTACACGTAAATAAGGAACGAAATTAATATAGAGATTAAACGAGCATCCTGATAGGCGCACAAGCGCAAAGAATCACATAGATAAAAAATCTAGACCATAAAAAGAAAAAAAAAAAGATTTTCATTTTTGTATATGACATCTCAGTGTGTTACTACATAACATTGGATATTGTCCACCACGCCCTGCAGTTTGACCATTGGGAGGATGAACATTCAGACGAGATTTGAAGTTGAGGAATAAGTATCAGGAAAGACATTTCTAGAAGAATTACGCATACTGGTAGGAAGAGGAAACATGGAGAATGCATACATGGCCTATTGCGACCTTTTCGCGAACAAAATATATATCAAACTCCATGTGTTTGGTACACTGGTGTTGAGCAGCGAAGACATTATCACAGTTCACGATAGTTGCTTTGTGGGGAGGATAGTGGAGTTCGAGAAGGAGATTATGTAGCCAACATGTTTCGACAACCACCACCACTAGAAATTTGGGTATTTCCGGCGGAATTTTTGGTGGACAAAATCCGCCAGAACATTACCAGCAGATTACCGATGGACAACAAAAAAGTCAGCTTTCATTGACTTCCGTCGGAAAGTCGCGGAGTTTCCGCCGGCAATCCGATTCTGATAATATTTCCCACGGCTTTCCGGCTGATTTTGTAGTTAATTATTTTAGAATAGTTGTAACTCTAATTACAATATTTTACCGGCGGATTTCCGGCGGATAATTAAGTAATTTTTTAAAATTAAGGTTCGCCGGAAATCCGTCAGAAAGTAATTAAACTTTAAATTTTATTTTTAAAATATTCTGGCGGTTTCTGAGGTTCCGCCGGTAATAGTTATTCAATTTAAAAAAAAAAACTCAATGATTTCCGGTGAATTTCCGGCGGATTTCCATCTTTTTGTTTATTTTCCCATTTTTCAAATTTTTTTTCTTTAATGGATCGTATTGGGCTTTAACGGTTCTATTGGGCTTTAGTGGATGTTAGTTGGGTTAGTTGGCTTTAATGGATAGTATTTGGCTTTAACGGACGGTATTGGGCTTTAATAGATTGTATTGGACTTTAATGCATCGCATTGGGCTTTAGTGGATCTAGTTATAGTTTAATGGATCGTAATGGGCTTTAATGGACCGTATTCGGCATTAATGCATCGTATTGGGCTTTAGTGGATGTTAGTTGTAGTTTAATTAATTGTATTGGGCTTTAAAGGATAGTATTAGGCTTTAACGGTTATATTGGGCTTTAGTGGATGTTAGTTAGGTTTGTTGGGCATTAGTGGATAGTAGTGGACTTTAACGGATCGTATTGGGCTTTAATGGATCGTATTGGGCTTTAATGCATCGTATTGGGCTTTAGTGGAWGTTAGTTGTGGTTTAATTGATCGTATTGGGCTTTAATGGATCGTATTAAGCTTTAACGGTTCTATTAGGCTTTGGTGCATTGTATTAGGCTTAGTGGATGTTAATTGTGGTTTAATGGATCGTATTATGTTTTAATGGACCGTATTGGGCTTTAATGGACCATATTAGGTTTTAATGGACCGATTGGGCTTTAATGGATCGTATTGGTCTTTAGTGGATCATATTGAGCTTTAACGGTTCTATTGGGCTTTAATGTATGTATTGGGCTTTAGTGGATGTTAGTTGGGGTTTAATGGATGGTATTGGGTTTTAATAAACCATATTGGGTTTTAATGAACCGTATTGAGTTTTAATGAACCAATTGGAATTTAATGGATCATATTGGGTTTAAAGGTTCTATTGGGCTTTTATAGATCGTATTGGCATTAATGGATCGTATTGGGCTTTAATGGATCGGGCTTTAATGGATCATGTTGGGCTTTAACGAATGTTAGTTGGGCTTTAACGTTTCTATTGGGCTTTAATAGATTGTATTGGGCTTTAACTTTTCTATTGGGCTTTAATAGATCGTATTGGGCTTTAAAGGATCATATTGGATGTTAATGGATCGTCTTTGGCTTTAATGGATCATATATGGCTTTGATGGATCTTATTGGACTTTAATGCACCGTATTAGGCTTTAGTGGATGTTACCTGTGGTTTAATTGATCGTATTGGGCTTTAATAGACCGTATTGGGCTTTAACGGTTCTATTGAGCTTTAGTGGATGTTAGTTGGTCATTGATGGATAGTATTGGGCTTTAACAGATCATATTAGACTTTACTGGATCGTATAAGGCTTTAATGCATCGTATTGGGCTTTAGTGGATGTTAGTTGAGTTTAATTGATTGTATTAGGCTTTAATAAATCGTATTATGCTTTAACGGTTCTATTGGGCTTTAGTGCATCGTATTAGGCTTAGTGGATGTCAGTTGTGGCTTAATGGATCGTATTGCGCTTTAATGGACCGTATTAGGCTTTAATGGATCGTATTGGATTTTAATGGACCGATTGGCTTTAATGGACCGTATTGGGTTTTAATTGACCGATTGGGCTTTAATAGATCGTATTGGGCTTTCACAGTTTTATTGGGCTTTAATGCATCATATTGGAATTTGGCGGATGTTAGTTGTGGTTTAATGGATGGTATTGGGCTTTAATGGACCGTATTGAGTTTTAATGAATCGATAGGGCTTTAATGAATCGTATTGAGCTTTAATAG